ATTCCAATGTGTCTGTTTCCTGGAGAATCTAATGCATTTTCCTGCTCATAGTGACTTAAGTTGGCAAGATGTTAAGGAGAAAGTAGTGGAGTCAAAGTGATATAGAACAAGTTAGAATATTTGAAAGTTATAATCATTGAAGAACATATTTGTATTATTAACCTAAGCTAAACTTTAATCGTTAGAATGTGTGAAGTTGAGGATTTAGGAATCTTCTTATGCATATTCCATTTTATTTATTTGCTCTTTGCTTTCCTTGAATCCCAACAAATATAATGAGTTAGCAATCTACTTTTTCTGAAAGTGAATTTTCTAAAAGCTTTTCTCTTTTCAAGAAAGCATTGAAATTGTTAATGTATAGAAATACAATTAAAGCGTACTAAAGACTATTTTGAATTAGTTTCTTTCATAATCTGTTATTTGGCTGGGCATTCAGTTAAGTGACTTTTCCTTATTAAAAAGTTCCTGTGTTAGTATTTTTCCCCCATACATTAATGTTAGGAATTTGCAATGTAGTACATATTCATTGACCCCTTTAAAGTTATTTCTCCTGAATAATCAGCCTTCTTAATTACTGATTAAAATACCAATACCTACCAATATGTCCATCTTAATCATAATTATACAATGGCTGAGGGAAAAATCATCTTGAAATCTGTCTCTCAGTTGAATGGTATGACTCTAGTTTAAAATACAAATAATAGAATGAAAACATTTTTCATGAAATTTCTGATATCTGATTAATATCTTCTAGAGTAACTGTGGCATCAAACATTTCCTCTAATTATATTCATTAGTGGGTTCTCCTGGACAAGTTTTAATTAAGTTGTACAATAAAGATCAATACTCGTGAATTCATTGCAATTTACAACAAGCATATATACTGTTCAGAACAATTTAATTACTGTAATTATAGCACAGAAGATATTTAGTGACTATGCTCTATTACTGCCAAGCCCTCTTTTTAATAAATTTGGTAATGAAATTGGGAAATTAACTTCTGAAAATTCACATTTATATAAACCCTATATCTAAACTTCTGTTTTTTATATAGCTATATTTTGATTTTTTATTTTACTAGTAGGGAAAATGGAGGCATTAATTACAGTAATGGCAAAGTGCCTTTTCATGCATATAGTCATGAATACTGAGAAATTATGAAAGTGTATATAATAACACATTTAATAATTATATTGGTTATGTGAAAAATAATTTAGTGGTGTTATATAGTCAGATATTCTATTTTTATTTTTATAAATAAGACTAAAATTATTTTATTACTCTAATTTTCTTAAGTAGAAATATTATTTTGGTTCAAACAGAAGGTCCCCAAATATGCTAACTTCCGTTAAATTTCTACTTTTTTTTTTTTTTTTTTTTTTTTTTTTGAGACGGAGTCATGCTCTGTCGCCCAGGCTGGAGTGCAGTGGCCGGATCTCAGCTCACTGCAAGCTCCGCCTCCCGGGTTCACGCCATTCTCCTGCCTCAGCCTCCCAAGTAGCTGGGACTACAGGCGCCCGCCACTTCGCCCGGCTAGTTTTTTGTATTTTTTTAGTAGAGACGGGTTTTCACCGTGTTAGCCAGGATGGTCTCGATCTCCTGACCTCGTGATCCGCCCGTCTCGGCCTCCCAAAGTGCTGGGATTACAGGCTTGAGCCACCGCGCCCGGCCTTAAATTTCTACTTTCACAATTATTTATCTGGTACATCGATAGATGAGCAGATCATTCTACTGATGTACCATATAAAGAATTGTGAAAATAGAAAATTTCTAGTGGCGTCAATAGGTACGTAATAGGGTTTCTCAACTTTAGTACTAGTGAAATTTTGACCAGATAATTCTTTCCTGGGGAGGCTGACGGTACATTGCAGGATGCTTCACCGCATACCTGACTTCTTCCCATTAAATGCCAGAAGCAAATATTCATCCACTAATGAACTCAGAAAATAGATAAATGCACCCAAATGTCTCCAGACATTATTATATCTCCATGTTGAGAACCACTGGTGTATGTTGATTAGCCTCACCCTCCTGATCTTCCCACTGACCACATTATTCATTCATAAGATAAACAGCTATTCCGCTTTTCTGAACTGAGACTAGATTCATAGACATCAGTCAAACATGGTGTTCTTATAAGAGAATTTTGTTCATACAATTTTTTGAAGACAGGAATTGAGTGTTCATAGAATATTGAGTAATAATGCCTAACTCAGACTTAGGAAAGGGAAGATCAGAATAGTGTCCTGAAGAAGGAATTCCTGAAATATGTTTTGAAGGATGAAGGAAACATTAGCAACTCAGAAGGTAAAAGAAAGATATGTATTTTAAAATTTACACAAAAATTTTAATTATTTTCTCTAAGAATCAAATCCCAATTTATCCTCCATTACATAAACAAAATTATAATATAATAATATGCAAATGATTGCTAAAAATGCCGAATTTTGCTCTCTTTTTCTCAACTTCCATTTTAGTAATGGAATGTGTAATTACCTTTTCAGGATTGTGAATTTTATGAAATCATTTGTTTCCAGACGGACATCAATTTTAGACAGTAGTGGGAAGATACATACATGTATTTCTTGTGGATTTCCTAGTCTATATACAAAGAAAATTATTTGACCACTTCACTGTAAGATTATAGAGATTCCTAATGTAGTTATTCTCATATATTCTGCAGTATATTCCAACACTGAGAACTCTTAATAAATTGTATTAACAGCCAAGTTAGTATTTTAAGGTAATTTGTTTACTTCAACACATACATATTTTCCAGAAAAAAAAAAAAGTAAAAATGGTAATTTAGTTTAAACCCAATTCAAGTGCAGCTAACTGAATCTTCAAAAGCTATCTGAAATTCTGTTGATAATAATGAATATTTCATATTAGTAACAGGTCTACAAGGAACGCTGTGTTTCTCACGGTAGGCTGGTTATGAATTCCTGGAATTCCTATGCACATCAGTTTGCCGCCAAAGGATTAAGTTCAATTTGATTGCCATCATGGTAGCACCCTTAGTTTGCTGATTTGCTCTACTTTATCTCATCTACAGATATGCTGCTGCTCAATATGAAAGGTGAATCAAATGAATCATTAAGATGAATAAACATAACAATTTAGGTTCTGAAACCCCTTGGTATTTAGTCATGTCTAGACACAGCCCTAGTGTCCCAGAAAAAACTAAAATGAGGGCAAGGACATTTAAGTTGAATGTAGCCTTATTCCCATGAAAACCAGAAAAGACAACAATAGAGCAAAAGGAAGAGTATGGATCTATCTGAAAAATTAGATGTAGTGAGGGGCAGGATTTGCAAGGTCAGTGGGTATTAGAGCAGTTTTTGTTTGTTTGATTTTTAAAGAATGTTTTTTCAATTAGGTCACCATTCTTTTAAGAAATTAATAATTCCACAAATTAATTATTATTCGTTAAAACCAGTATGATTTAAGTAGGTTAAAAGTGATATAAACATTATATTGTATGCATTTTTTAATAGTTGATGAGCTCAGAAAATAGATGAATAAAGTATATTTAGCAACAACATATATGTGTATGTATAGGTAATTTTTAGTATATTTGTTTTTCTACAGATTTTAAGCTATTGATTTATTTTAATGTTACTAATATTATCATATGCTTTCAATGTGGTTTATAAAATATGTATGTTCCCAAACGTGCTTTTGTCTCATTAATTTTTGCTACTGTGAAATAAATGATGCGTAATAATAGTTAAATGTACATAAATTTCTCTAAGATATAGAAAATTTCCTCAGTCATAATAATTTTATATTATCTTAAAAAGTATAAGAACACATCCCAGCGTATCAACTGTTATTTCTTTAATACTCCAGGCTTACACTTACACATAGAATCATCCTTTTAGAACTGGTGGCATTTCGAGATACTGGCTTTTGAATATAGCTTAAGGAAGCCTCGATACCTCTACATAGGGATAACTCAGGTGTTTCCCTTTCAGGTTCATATTCCAGGCTCATTCAAAGTTGTTCTGTTGCACAGCAGGCCAGGTAGAGCCATATGGGATAGGTATAATAGGTTGGAGAAATGATGATCTGTGATCCAGGGCTAAAGTATTTTGAGTAGACAGTACCCGATAAGCTACGTTGATTTCTCAGAGTCAGTATATAACACCATATGTATGATGTGTATGAGTGTGTATGTGTGTGCATGGGTGTGTATGTGTGTGTGTGTCTGTGTGTGTACATACTCATAAATGGCTTCCTTTTGTAATGATGGTACTCAAACTTCCATCCTGGAGTTTCTCAATATCGTAATATTCCCATATATAATGTATCCGACAGTTCTACATGAAACACTCTTTTTAGACTATGGTCATATCTAAGAAGAAAGTATCTCTGGGAATGCAATGGATTCTTAAGTATAGCAACTATCTCAAGAACTGCAACAATTTCCTTGTCTTGGTTAAGGGTGTGTAGATTTATTTCTTAATTAAACTTGCAATTTGGATTACAGATTTCTGTTAATATCACAAAAAATGTTACAAGCTTGGGAATAGTTTATTGCTGTTTAATGTAAATTATTTGTTAATTGCTTCATAACAGCTTCCCAGAAGAAAATAAAATACATTTAGCTACAATTTTATGGCTGCAGCTTAATCCCAAAACCTGGAGCTTTTTACAAGGCAGCATGAACCTTTCATTTTTGTGGGTTTACTTTTGTTCTTTTTTTTTTCTCACGAGTTTTTTTTTTTTAATTTATTATTGTTTTGCAAGAAAATAAAATAGGGTAATGATTTGCTTTCAGATGATTTTGCTGTGATTGTTCTTCAAATGTTTATTTAAAATCATTTGCTCTCTTGCATCAATATATTTTCTTTAAATTATACCCATTGTATTCATCATAATGAACACTTAATTTCAGTTACGTAAACAACATGCAATTTTAATAACACTATTAAGATAGAGATACAATATCCATGATAATATACATTTCACTGAGTTTTGTATTCTTTTCTTTTCAGTGAATTTATTGGATTCACGCACTGTCATGGGGGACCTGGGATGGATTGCTTTTCCAAAAAATGGGGTAAGTTTTATGAAAGTTTTTCTAAAACTTAAACTATGCGCATGAGCATCTTGATACTTGCAACACAGGAATGAATATGTACTGGATGTATATGTTGTTGAGATAGGAGGTGCTATGTGTGTGTTGGATGGGGTGGTGGGACTTCAAATAACTCTAACCAAAAAAAGGAACACTAGGGAAGGGCTTTCAGTGACTAAAGAGTAAATATACTATTTCCTCTCTGAGTATTGTTCCACAAAGAAATGTGAAGTTTCCTTCAGCATTTAGGAAAAGTTCACATGAAAACAACAAAGAAACTTTCAGAATTAGTTTATATTAAATATAAAAGTATTTGATTTGCTACTAATTTGCCATCATCCTGGCATATTGCATAGGAAATAAAATTTAACTGGTCTATGATCAGTGTGATTCAAAGCTGGGACCAATTTAATTTTGACTTCATTTACAGAATAAGGGAATAAAAATAGTATAAGAAATTCCTTTAAATTCCATTGAGATAAAAAAAATCCAAGAAACTATTATAATATCATGTACATATGCAACTGCAATTCATCTAGAAAATATCAAAGGTTTATTTTAGAGTAATCTAATATTATAACAAATTTTGTCATAATAACCTAAAGAGCCAAAATTTTCATTTTCAAATTAACGAGTAAACCAGGTGTGTGAATCAGTCCTTTACTAAGAAAGTTATTATGGAAATCGTACGTTGTATTAATTATTCTAATCCATAATAATTTGTATATTAACATCCTCATCTCAGTGGGCTTTTATGTTTTTCATCAATTTTGTATTTCTCTTTAGTTGTGAAAAGTTACAGATGTATTTAAAGCCATAATATTAAAAAGGAATGCTAGTAGATTTTTAAGATATTGGAACATAAAGGTAAGGCAAAATAACAAAAAACAAACAAAAACATTGCATAACGCAAGTAGAGCCAGGCTCAAGATAATAACGTGTATACTTTCAATGTGTTCCTCTTTTATCTTTCTTATACTCTTCCTTCTTCCCTTCCTTTTTTTTCCTGAACCACCACACACTCTTTCTTTCATCTGTCATGATTCCGTACAGATAAATGTCTGGCTAACGTCTGTTTATGAGAACCTATACAGATATTTTGTATTCTTCCTTTTTTTTCATGTACCAAAAATAATCTATTGAATAAATATTTTAATTTTTTTCTTTCTGAGAGTATGGTTGATGTGTTGTGTTGAAATTAGTTTTTTAGAATCCAGAGAGAATATATGAGATATTTTCTTTGAATTTAGTTTTGTGTTTTTCTCCTGTTTCCACTCAGAAGTTATTAAAATAGAGCTTTGAAAGAGCGTATCTGTGAGAGTATAAGTACGGTGTTGTAGTTGCTGTTGCAACTATACATTTGAGGAAATTTACTCAATTTTATATATGATTTCTATATGAAGCACAATTAATAGCTTTATAAAAACATAATCCTTCTGTGTTGGAAATTGGATCTTTTAAATTATTCTAACAACTTCATGCTGTCTTTTTTTTCTATTATTATTGTTCATATAGTGGTATATTTGTTCTGTTTTTTAAACAATGAGCATCCTTTTCAAAATTCTTGTTATTATGTTGAGTAATGTTTCCTTTGACATAGTGTACCAAATGTTAATATTGAAGACAGGGAAGTTAACTTAGAGGGGCTTAATGAATGTATATTTGTTTGAGTGTGAGATATGTATGTGGGATTCAGGCGTTATGTTTTGTGTTACATCACTCAAATGCAAAATGAAGGAAAAAATGTATTATATTTAAGGAAAATGAATGTTCATGGTATATACAATGATAGTAAAAATATATACACTTTTAAAATATTTTTAGTTAGCTGTGCCATTTGTGATTAGATAAGCAACATAATCATAGGTGAAATATAGATAATCAGAATGATGTCCATAAAAATTGTGGAATAATGACCACCAAATTATTTTTTCAATAATTGCCACAAGAAAACTGGAAAAAAAATGTTCGAGTCATTTTTATTGGAACTCTGGTATTCAGACATCATCTTGGAGCAATATGGGACACTTTTATTTAAGAAAAATGACTGAGTCTTTTAAAATAGCAAAGTTTGTGGCATTTTACTTGCTCCATGTCCTTCCTGCCTCTCTAGCTCTGAGGTAGTCTTGAAAAGCCAAAATTCAGCCATCATGGTGAAAACCAGTAGACTAGTAAGAACTGAAAGGGAGTAGGAGATTCTTCCCAGTCTCAATTTCAGAGAACTGTCTTTATTTGATATGTTTGAGAACTCCCTGGAAGACCGCATTGTAAGACACTCTTGATTTCACCTGACTTAGAGCTGTTGAAGTCCAAAAGCTTTTTCTCAGCTGGACATTTGTCAAAAAGACAGGCAATTGTCTGATTTTTCTTCTGTGTGAGGGGCTACCTAAAATTTGGGACAAACAATAGGCTTGTCAACCAGAAAACTTAGGGAAAGCTGGAAATTGAGATGTCCACACTGATTTTCAAATGCCTCAATGACTTATTTGGAATTTATAAGGCCATGCACATGTGTAGGGCTTTGTACATGCCCAGGGGCATATGTATGCTCAGGAAGGACCTGAGAAAGACCTAAGGTTTTACTTGCTCACAAGCAGGAAGAGAAGGTTAAGGTAGGTCTTTAATTGCTTAGCTGAATATTGAAGGAATGTCCCAACATGCACACACAGACCCTCCCCAAAGTTGAAACACTTACTGGTTTGAGATTAACAAAATATTCTGTCTAAGCAATACCTGTTATGTAAGCTAATAGAGCAATGACTTCAATGGCTACACATGGCCATTGAAAAATAGAGTATACAGAATTATTTCAGAAAAGTCATTAAAGAAACAAACATTAACACTCCCTGGAGAGTGAGGGAGAATCTAATTTTCAGAGTTGTCACATTACTTTATTTAATATGCCAGATTTCCAATAACAAAATACTATGAGAAATGCAAAGAAACAAGAAAGTATTGCTGGTAAAAAGAACAAAAGCAGTTATTAGAATTTATACTGAATATGCCCAGCTGTTAAAATACGTTGAAAGAAGTAAAGGAAAATATGTGTCAAGAACTAAAAGAAAGTATAAAGTAATGTATAATTGAATTCAAAATATCAATAAAGAGATAGAACCTCTTATAAATGAAAAATAAATTGGAGTTGAAAAGTATAAAATTGAATGAAGAATTTGCAATAGGGGCAGATTTGAGCAGAGAGAATAAAGAATAAGCTGACTTGAAGATAGGACAACTGAGATAATCCAATCTGAGGAACAGAAAGAAAAATTAATGAACAGAAATAAACAGAAACTTAGAGATCAGTGGGAAGAACACAGATATAATGGGAGTCTCAGAAGAAGGGAGGCCAAATGGGTTAGAACAAATATTTGAAGAATTAATGAACATAAAGTTCCCAAATTTGATGAGGAAACATTAATGCACACATTCAGGAAACTCAACAAACTGAAGTAGGATAAAGTTAAACACATTCACAACTAGACACATCATAGTTAAACTATCAAAAGCCAAAGAGAGAAACTTTCAAAAGTAGCTAGAGTCAAACATCTCACCTTGTATAAGCGATCCTCAGTACTTTGCACAGCTATTTCTTACTAGAAATCATGGGGTCCAGAAGGCAAAGCGATGACCTCTTCAAAATGCAAGAAGAGAAAGACTGTGGAGCTAGAATTCGATATCCAGGAAAACTGCCTTTTGAAAATGAAGAAGAAACTAACACATTCTCAAATAAGCAAAATATGTGCAACTATAAATGATCAAAATAAATATTTTTACCACTAGAAACATATTTTTAGAAATAGGTTTTACACATATGCAACCCACATATTTTTTTCAGAGAAAACTGCATCTTTATTTTCCTTTTATTCTCCCTACTTCATTTTCTTAGAGAAACATATAAACTGATTATTTGATTTCCCTCAAGTTTGAAAAATGCATTTTAAGTAACAACAGTTAATTTTAGAATTGATTGTTTATGGTATTGTTTTATTATTTGAGGTCATGTTTTAATAAAAACCACATAGTAATGCTGTTTGCATTTATGCTTTCATGGATATGGCTTAAAATCATTTTATTTCAAATTCAAGTGTGATTTGCATATTAACATTGTTTTAAAGAAATCAAGTATAATTTGAATCAGTAAGTGGCCTTAAATATTTGTTGTATACAATATCTTACACCAGAGTCTGTGATTTATATAAAACTTGGGTAAGACAAGGGTCCCTGTCCTTGAGTAAGGCTCATATAACTTAACCCTATTGCTCCATTCATTCAGGAAATATTTACCTGAATATTTTTGTGTGTGTGAGATGGAGTTTCGTTCTTGTTGCCCAGGCTGGAATGCAATGGCACGATCTCAGCTCACCACAACCTCCGCCTCCCGGGTTAAAGCAATTCTCCTGCCTCAGTCTTCTGAGTAGTTGGGATTACAGGCATGTGCCACTACGCCTGGCTAATTTTGTATTTTATTAGTAGAGACAGGGTTTTTCCATGGTGGTCAGGCTGGTCCCCAACTCCTGACTTCAAGTGATCGACCAGCCTCAGTCTCCCAAAGTGCTAGGATTACAGGCATGAGCCACGGCACCCGGCCTACCTGAATATTTACATGTATCATGTAAGTTATGAATTCTGTTCTAGAGATTGTTTGGTTTTTCTCTTATGCTACCAGAAAACTTACTTGGTTTTGTATTATTTACGTAGAGTGTCTTCCTCTAAATAGAATTCCTGATTTAAAGTGAACCAATTGTACTCAGATTTTTATCCCCAGTTGTGGAGATATTGCCTGGCATATTGCCTAATACAGATTATATATTTAATAAATATATATTAAATTGAATTGGTCCTTTGAGAATTCAAAACTCCTTATAAACATTAAAAAAAGCAACTGTATGAATATTCAATTAAAAGTACTACACTTTCTTCACTTTTTTCAGAATATTCTTCTGAACTTTAGGCCTTAAGAATGGATATGTTTATTTCTTATA